TTTTGGTATAACTGCTATTTTGTGGCCAGAAATTTCAAATAATTAAAATTGAATGTGAGCACATGATCATGTTGGATTGATAATATGAACAATGAAAATCTGGTTTTCATATTGGTCTTAAACACTGTCTGCTTTACCAGCCATTGTCATGCCTATAAACTGTATGTCCATTTCTGTAGATATTTTTTTAGGGATTAGCAGAAAAGAGGGCCAGAGTTGCTCTCTAGAGTAGAAAGACTAAGTCATCATTACTAAACCTTTCCCTCTGTTCTTGGTTAGAGAAAAGTTATTCATCAAACGAGTGAAAGCTGCTTCCATAAATCTTCATCGAAGTGCATGAATTTCAAGTCATGGAACTGAAGGGGTTTAAGGAGCAATGGGAAATAATGGAATAGTAAAACTAAGTCACCCTGAATCATCACTGCCTTGGGAAATGAAAAATATGTGCTATCTGTAAGAGTAAGAATAATCCATGGGGTATGAACAGCTGCATGATCCTGCATATATGATGCAATAGGAAATATCATAAACATATGCAATCTGTGCAAAGGCTTTGTTTGTTTACTGTACTCTATAGAGTTTTTGTTGCAAGGTACTGTGAAAAAATGATGTCAGTGAATCAAAAAATTAACAGTTTATTAAAACAGTAAGAAGAAAAAGGAAGATGCCAGAAATATATGTCTCAGTAGGATTCATATTCTGTTGCATTAGAAAGGAAGTAAAGGAGTCAAGAAGTGAAGGCCACGTCCTCCAGAATATTCAGCCTGTAGTGCTTCAGTCCTTCCAACAATTCATGGTGTTAATCCATATTTGAGGAGTCGACCATTTCTTCTATGAAGAAAGACTGATGGAACTGGGCCTGTTCAACCTGGAGGAGAGAAGGCTTTGGGGAGACCTCACTGCAACCTTTCAGTACTTAAAGGGAGCTCATAAACAAAATGAGTATCCAACTTTCTACACAGCACAACGATAAAACAAGGGGAAACAGCTTTAAACTAAAAAAAAAAAAAAAAAAAAAAAAAAAAAAAAAAGGAGATTTAGATTATATGTTAGCAGGAAATTCTGTACTCAGAGGGTAATGAGGCACAGGCACAGGCTGCCCAGAGAAGCTGTGGGTGCCCAATACATGGAGCTGCTCAAGGCCAGGTTGGATGGGCAGTCTGATCTGGTGGGTGGCAGGGGTTTGGAAATGTAGGTAAGTTGCTTTCAACTCAAACCGTTCTATAATTCTACTGTTTTCACATGAAACAAATTCATTGGCTTTGGAAAAAGTTGCGGTGGGTGAACACCTTAAATGTTGATACATTTTATCTGGATATCAATATCCCCTGTTCTTCCTGAATTTAAATCCATGACATAACTGCATCTAGATGCTTGACCTCAGCAGACATAGCATTTACTTGATCCCTTGCTTTCCTCCTCCCTGTTCTGTGCTCTCCATGTCAAATTACATTTCTTACAGTTTGTTTATTTTGTCTAGCTTTACCACTGAGTAACAGTTGCATTTGACCTGGTTTGATGAGAAAAAGAGCAGTGACTTGTGCACAGAAGCTGAAACAAATTGCATGGCATAGGTAAAAACTTAACGCTCTTTCAATCAATAGAAGACACAATCCATAAACTAAAAAGGAAATACAGAACTACAAGAGCTCTTGAATCCAGATAATATATTTTTAAATTCAATTTCTGGTTGTTAGAGTCTGTTAACAATGTCTGTTAACAATGTCTGTTAACTGAGCTGAAGTTGAAAATCACCCTTTTGAGGTGTGGCAGACGCCATATGTATGACAATCAAAATAATTTTCCAGGAATGTTTTAAGCTTACACATAGAGGCTAATTTTCTGTGTTTGAAGTATTCTCTAAAGGGCTTATTTTCTATATTGACTGTGGTTTGTTTGTATTCTGCAAAATGACGTTGCTGGAAAGGAGGAAGAAAACCATTCCAAGGGGAATTTCCTACTAGATCAGTCATGCTGACCTGGGTTTTCTTACTCAAGAATTTTACAGATATTTGTCTTACACAGTAGTCATACCTTTTGCAGCCATAAAGTAATTCTTAGAAATCACTCTGTTGAACACAAGATAGAAATTAAGTCTAAATTTACAATCGCTGAAATGTTGTCTCTAGAACAGAAACAAGTGAACAAAAACCATCTGAAATAAAATTCTTTAAAGAATCGCAAGCTGGAAACTTGGACTTGATTGTGTATGCTGTTAACAGATGAGAAAAAGTAAGAGTTCACTCCTGGGAAGTTCATTCTGTTTTGAAGAGACATCAAGAAAAGAAAATACACACATTAGTTATTAGTTTTCCATCTGCCTATATCAAATATGTTCAATTCATCATATGCCTTTAACACAATAAGATTTCAAATTATCTTGTCAGAATTGGATGAATATTATAGATTTTCCATTGATGTATATTCTTGTATTTTAATGACATCTTCACATTTCCGAGGGTGCAGTGAGTGATGGGTGTACTAATGCTGAAATAGCACCAGATATTGGTTATCGTTTTATATACCTGTGATGTAGCGTAACTGACAAGAGTAAGGCATCGACAAAGAAATCAGTGTGATCTCCATCCAGGGAGACACCAGCACCCTTTCTTCTATTCTTTGCAGCTTGTCACATGAATGAAGATACAGTGGAATTAGTTTCTCACTTGATGACTTTACCTTTAAGCAGTGGGACAGTGAGTGCTGCTCAAAGCAAATTTACACAGGTAAAAATTTGCTAAAAGACAAATATACTTGTATTAATTCTTTCTCAGTAATTATCACTGGAGAAGCTGAAGCTATTGTGGACAAGAGACATAGTTTCATTGGACAGAAGTATATAGAAGAAATAAAATATAAAACTATCTTGTAAGTGTATCTGCCGCATTAAATCATGACTGTCCTCAATATTCAGATTATTGTTCGACCACCTAGATTTCCCACCTGAACAGGCTGAAACAATTTGTATAAAGAGATACAATAATGTTCAGTTCAGAATTGACCTTGGAGCAGAGGTAACCAGTTTCTCTAGAGGTTTAGAATAAAGTTACCCCGGTACTGACAGGGACTGTGAAAGCAGCCTATAGAAATTGGTAGCTTCTTGGCTCTCTTATCATAGGTGAGAGTTTCATATTCTTTAATTTACTATTATGTGGTTCATTGAAAACAACCTCATGAATTTGGATCACAGACATTGAAAGTAGATAAAGCACACACAAGTATGAGATAGCATCAATCAAATTCAAAGAGTTGTCCATGGTCTGTGGTCCAACATCTTTCTGAGAGTTCTGAACTTAGCGGTCTCCAAAATGGGTATGGGTATCTCCAAAATGAAGGAATAATTTAGTAGAATATGGTGTAAAAAAAGGTACACAGTGCATCTGTGGTCCAGATATGTGTTGTATCTCTGATACTTTTTATGGGAAATAGTATGCGTGCTTCCATCAGCTGGGTGATAAACAGACAGACTAAAACAGATAGGAAGGATCAATAAATCGTTCCCAACTTGGAACACTACATCAGTTCCAGAAAACTGGTACAGTAATCCTCATTAGATGCTGCTGTTGGGTTTGGCAAACTGATCTTGTATTTAACAAAGCAGAGGTTATATCTTTTACAGTGTCATCTAGAGAAAGATCTTTCATCACCTTTTGTCTGGCAGTAACACATCACTGATGCAAAAGGAAAAAATGGATCAGGTTGTTCAAAATCCATTATTTAAATTGATGTTCTGTTCAGAAAAGACACTATAAGCTTAAAAACTGCGTTGGAAAGATGTTGAAAGTTTTTACCCAAAATTCAAAGAACAGAATCATAATGTACACTATTTTAAATTCAGCAATAGATCTTAGAAAGCATTACTGAAATGGAGAATAAAGGCTCTGACCTAAAGGAAACAACTGATTGGAGTTGCTTTCCTTCCAGATTCCCTATTCCCCATAATTTTTCATTATCCTTTATTCTTTAGTAGTAAGATGGAATTCTGATCAATATTTCCATAAATTCCTTAATCTCTCTATTTGACCTTGGCTGAAAGATAACATGATGCTTCTGAGAGTCAAATGCCTTACTCATTAATGGAGCTTTATTGCAGCTGTAGAAGCTGTTTCAGTCTGAAGGAGGAACTGTTCCAGTTGCGCGGATAGCCGTGGTATTTTATTCAGCTTTCAGATGAGCTATGGCCAAACAAAGAAAGATGTTCGGCAAATACATGAATGTCTGAGTAGTACACAGACATTCAGTGTCTTTTGTCCTCTGAGAAAATTCAAGCAGCTGTGCCTGAATCATTTGTGCTTCTTGGATGGGAAATTATCTGGACATTCTTGGTGTGGCAAGTACAATCCAAGGTTATGCCTTGATACTTGGCAAAGAGCAGGCCAAAATAAGGAAGTGGTTTGATGTGTCATTTGTATTGGTCAGCTGATAGGAAAAAGGAGGGGAAATGGAGGACTAAGAATGTCCCTTCAGACTGTTCATATTGACTTATACTTCAATTCAGTGCCTAGAGGGAAGTTTCAGGTGTCAGTAACAAAGGTTACACTGGTTAGGTAAATACAGCTCCATAAGACAACCATAAATCTTACTGTGATAAGGAGATACAACTAAAGCAAGTGAAGGAAAATGAGAGTACATTAGATCAAGCAGAAAGCTGGAGGGGAAGACGAAGTGAATTAAGTTATCAGTCCTCAATCAGTACTCTAGGACAGACTTAATAGACTGGGACGTGGACTTTGGTGAAAGCAGAACTTCTTGCTAGTTAGTAAAAACTAAAGCCAACACCTGATAACCAAATACTTAGAAATTTGGAATTGAAAACTCTGAATCTCAAACTAAGTTTTCTCAAACTTCTGGATTAATCCTTTGGATCTGGTTTTGCTCCATGTCTGTTAGGTACAAGACAGATGGTATAATGTCTGAGATCTGATAACAACAGAAGTCATATTAAGGCCAATATAATCTTTTTATTATTATTATTATTATTAATCATAGATCCAAAAAAATGTCTATTTGAAGCATGAGTTTTTCAATTTAAATAGCTCTGCTGATGTCTGCTGATTCCTCCTACATGTTTTCACATGCATTAAACCAGTTGATTTTGTAAGATTATATTGTAAACAAGCAAGTTTCTTTCTGTATTCATTCATTAGCCAATTTGGAGTTTCTGGATTTTTATGATGTGTTGGTTTTGTTGCTTTTTATTCTTCTTTTGAACTTATTAGGTACAAAGAAACCCATTATAGGATTATTGTTGTCAAACATCAGCGCACAGAGTGTCTCTGGTCATTATCTGCCTGATAAATAGAGAAGCTTTAATTTTCATTGGTGAGTGTTCTGATCTAAACGACTAAGTCTAATGGATAGATTTTATTTACATTTTGCAGCTCAAACTAACTCTGAATCTTCAGAAGTTCACTGTGTTAGATTCTCATTTTTTTACATCTGAATGCTTTAAGCCTAAGGCTCCTCTTAGAAGGAAAGCTCTTTGAAGCTCTGGCATGCTGCTGAGCAACATTTTAACAGACTATTTTCTGCTATCAGGAAGTGTAATGAGCTGCCTTTTAGGAAAGAAACTGAAGTAAATTTCTAGGTTCTTACTTTTTGGAGAGCAAGTTTGTTATACCTAAAAGAGGAAAAACAAAATCTTCTTCCTTTATTCTACTGTTTGCAAGGTACTGACAGGCACTGGGAATGTGGAATAAAAATAAAAGTAAATTAAATCTACATGAGTGTATTCTGTTATATTGATACATCTTACTGCTCTACACTCAAAAAAATGTGGAGGGATGTGCTCCCCTACTCTCACACATTCACACTCATACGTTTCTTTATAGTTATTTGTGTGTTGCCTGAAAGCCTGATCCTGGACCAGACAATGCTGTGCACAGCATGTGCTGCACAAAAAGGCACCAGCACAGAGTCAATAAAAAAAAAGAAAACAATTGATTTATGGGAGTGAAATAAGAATACTTTACATGGTAATGGAATTGGTAGTGGCTTCAGCACACCATTAAGGTAATAATTTCCAACGTTTCAGACTGATTTTTCAAAAGCAAAGTTAGGCTTTTAGGAGGAAGGAGAATGATGTAGATTTATGTATAACTTCTGGACATTCTTCCTAAAGATTAGACTTAGAACTGAAGAAAACTGAAAATGCTGGCTGGAAAAGTTTTCATCTGGGCTGTGGAGACTGACTGAAATGAAAGAGCATCACATCTGATGAAGTGATGATGATGAGTGAATAAACTATTGGAGTCTTCAGGAGTGAAGACAAGTAATTTGAATCATGTCAACCATCCAAATTTAATGTTTAAGAATGCAGGTGGTTTCTATGAAATTATGTCAATCTCTGTATCTCACACACAGAAGCAGAAAACCCATTGCTTGCAGCTGTCTTTTTTTTTTGTTTTGTTTTGTTTTGTGGTTAATATTTTACCTGCCACAGTACTTCAGAGGTATTAGAAATAATCCACTCCTCTACTAACATCTCAGAAATCTTAATGGACCTCTGGACTACAGGAGAAACACTTCCAGTCCCTGGGAGACAAACTAATAATCGTTGCTCATGAACAGCGGCACAACAGTTGTGAGAACAAACTTCTGCACCATTTCTGCTCACAGCCACCTGCTCATACTATCAGACTCATTTTTCTTTCCGTATTGGAAAAAAAACCTGTCTTTCTATAGGTACCTCCTGGTAGATTCACTCATTCATAAGTGTTACCATTCACCTCCTCCTCCCTATTTCCCATCACATGCAACTGTTTACGCTTGCACAGGCTCTAGAATAGAAATAGTTAAAGTAATTTAATCCTGAGTTTTTAGATAGATTTCTGTACTTCTTCATACTGAGATGTTGATATACTTATTTTGGTGACTATTTCACAGCTGCAAAAAAAGAATATTAGACACTTGTGTGACCTCTACACCTATTTTAGGTTTGGAACTGAAAACAAATTCAGACGTGTCCAGCTGGATAGTGGAAAACCCATGGGCAACATAGACTTTCTGTGTAAGTCTGTTTGATAAATTTCTTCTATCTGAAGCTGAATCTGTCCAGCATCATACTGCATTCCAGCCAAAACCACAAGGAGGGGAGAGAGAGCTGACACAGACTACTATGGGCTCTTTGCATCCCATATTTGCACAGATGTGCATGATTACACAATTCTTTGGCTCGAAAGAGAGGAGGGTGATTAACCAAAAGTGGAATACAGGTGGTCTTTTGCTCAAATGTCCCCATGCAAATTGCAGTGGGTATCTCTGTCTTTCTGTCAGCAGCAGATTCCTCCGAAGCTGATGTGTGAGGAGGTGCTAAATCCCAGAAAACCTTTTATGAGATTTATCAGTTGGAAGTAAAGTCTGCTTGAGTGGAAAAGAATAGATGCAGTGATAAAACACTCAGAGCTGGAAAAGGCAGCTGTGGCAAAGTAGCTGTATAACACACCATTTATGATGGAGAAAGCAGACTCAGAATTATATAGTAGGAGTTGCCATGGGCTGTATTTATTTTCGTTTCCATGAGTGAGCCACAAGGATGATGTAGGCAGTGCAGAGAGGAAAGTGAGAAAGCAGAGGCCTCAAATTTATTCTCTGAGTTGGGGTCAGTGGGATAGCTATGTTTGAGTGCTTCTGACTTCAGCTAGATCTCCCCAGGGTTTTGGAGCCTCTAGGCTGGCAGATGGGTTTCTATACTAAGCTTTGGTCTTAAATCCTTTCTATGCAATCTTAGACAGTGTGCAAAAGTAGAAGACTTTCATCTCCCACAGAGGTCCATTTTTAAAGCCAGGGAGAGTCTTTACGCTGCAACTGAATGATAAGATATGGTTTTACTGTGAGCCCCTAGCATATCCTGGAAAGCAAGGTAAAAAGAGGGCTGTGATCAGTAAGAGAAGTTTTGGAGCGACTATGAGTAAATTAAAAGAACTGGTTATGATCTCTACAACTGTCTGTAGTACTCTGTCTGTAGTATTCTGACCCTCAAATTTAAGAGATATAAATTTGCTGCATGGAGTAACATAAAAATAAACATGACTACAAAGGCTAATGAAGAGGGTAACTTGCCTTGTCCAGGAGCATAAGACTGAAGGTTGCACTCTTGAGCTTTTTGGAGAGCATTGACTTCAATATTGTCAAAATTAGCCTGGAGAAAGTTGCAGTATGTGTAGCCAGAGTTGTCAAAATGTAAACAATTTATTATCCTAAGATTTCAGTGAAGAGTCACATTTTTTTTAATGTTATAACAAAAATAAACAAACAAAAACACTTAATACAGCAAAACAAAGTCTCAGCAGCATATGAGAAATATTTTGCATATGAGCATATGAGAAATATTTTGCCAAAAATATTTTGCCAGAACCATATGTTGGATAGAAGATAGGAGAAGCAGGGTCAAAGATTATAAGAAATGCATGGGTCTGAGAGAGGGAAAAGGGTGCAGTTGTCAATGGCAGTGGAGAGAAGGAGGAAAGAAAATTTGTAAGGGGAAGTGAGAGGTTTGAATAAGATGAACTTCAGCTTGTAGCTGCTATATGTGGAAGGGGATGGAAATTATGGGGTTAATTCCTTAGGGATAGGTGTAAAAAGCTTAGAATGATCAAATGACACTGATGGAAGGGGAACTTACTACTGTGCCTGTAGAAAGACTGGTAACAAGATAGCCCGGAAGGCCAACTGTGTTCTCGGCTGAACTAAAAGAAGTGGCCAGCAGGGAGAGGGAGGTGATTGTCCCCCTCTACGCAGCTCTTGTGAGGCCCCATCTGCAGTACTGTGTCCAAGTCTGGGGCCTGGCACAGGAAGGACGTGGAGCTCTTGGAGTGGGTCCAGAGGAGGGCACTAAGATGATCAGAGGGCTGGAGAACCTCTACTATGAGGAAGGGTTGAGGAAACTGGGCTTGTTTAGCCCAGTTTAGAAGAGAAGGCTCTGGGGAGACCTCATTGTGGCCTTCCAATATTTGAAAGGAGCTGTAAACAGGAGGGGGAACGGCTGTTAATGAGTGTGCATATTGATAGGATAAGGAGGAATGGTTTTAAACTGAGACAGGGGAGGTTTAGCTTAGATATTAGGAGGAGGTTTTTCACACAGAGGGTGGTGACACACTGGAACAGGTTGCCCAAGGAGGCTGTGGATGCCCCATCCCTGGAGGCATTCAAGGCCAGGCTGGATGTGGCTCTGGGCAGCCTGGTCTGCTGGTTGGTGACCCTGCACATAGCAGGGGGTTGAAACTGGACAATCATTGTGGTCCTTTTCAACCCAGGCCATTCTATGATTCTGTGATTCTATGATTCTGTGATTCTATGATTCTATGACATATGGAAAGAGTATTGGCCCTTAGCTCAGGAAATAAGACTACAGGGATCTCAATGCTTTTTCATTTTTGAGTATAATCTCAAGAATGTATTTAGCTATGCTTAAAAATCACCAAAATAATAAGAAAGCCATGTACTTTTTGGAAACATGACTTTTTTTTTTTTTTTTCACAGCTCAGAAATTTTTGCAGCACTCTGCACTTTCAGCACGATGCTATCACACTGTCAGGTGGAAACTGCAACCACTTTCGAACAGACAGCAATGTTTTTCACTGTGGCTTTGTCACTGCATTTGGATCAGGTTTGAGAACAGGGAAATAGTTTCCTTGGCTGATACAACACTGAGTTATCTATAAACAGAGCTTTACTCAACACTCCCATGCTGTAGAGTAGGACCCTCTGACTCTCAGCCCACCTTTGCTCCCTTTCATTGCAGAAGCGACACCACAAAACCCTTTCCTCAGCTCTATTGCTGGGTGGTAAGACAACAGAAAATTGTGAGATGGGGATAGGAAACATTGTTAGCTTCATGAACAGATACGTTTTGAGTGTTTTGCTGGTGAGATGAGGCAGTGTCATTTGTAAAAAATCAGGGCTCCACACCTTTTTGATGACCTGAAGGAGAAACTCAGATACAAGAGCTGCAAACAGCTGAATATGCGTTAAGTATAACAAATGACTACCAAGCTTCAATAGCAATACCCTACTACTGTTGCAGTCTCTAGCTTCCCAGATATTCATTATCTATCCTGGCAAAATCACCTCCGCTGCACTACGACATACCAGCAACACCTTCAGAGCAGTATCTATTTGCTTTGTAGCAGTCTCTTCCTTGGTTTGCACATACACTGCATTTTGTATAGGCTTGCTTTAAATACTCAAGGCAAATGATTCCAGTTTTTGAGGCAACAAGTGGCTGCCACAAGTACAACTGAGCTAATAAGAAATTTTAGCTTCGGCTCTTTTCCCAACCTTTCATTCAGGAAGCCAGCTTCGAATGTTTAACTTAGATGTTGAATATATGAGCAACCTCAGTACTTTATCTGAATAAACTTATTTCTGAAAGGCTGATTTTAGAAGGAATTCTCTGGAAATGGCAACTCCAAGATATGCATGATGACTAATCTTTGATTCATTCAACTATGTTTTGAGCTGAGCCAAAAACTAAATTTCGGGGAAAATCAGTAGAAAATCTACGTCTATGACCCCAGTTGTCTCACTGAAAACACAATGTTCCATACAAAGGAACTCCTAGATCAGAAATTATTTTCCTCAGTCCCTTTTCAGCCCATGTAAATTGCACTAGGATTTCTTATGGGATGTCTTTCCAATGCAGAGTCTTGGTCAAGTTGAATTTCTAGGGGCTGCTGGTCCTTACACTCCTTCTTCCATTCCCAACTCGTAGAAGTCTCCTGTTAAGCTGTGCAAAAGCTCTCAAGACATTAGTTACCAACTATCTCCAACTATCTCACCTTTCCTAGATGTTAATTCCATCTTCAGCCTCACTGCTTTTATTTATTTTCTTAAACTATAAGCTGAAATTAGAATGTAGACTGCATTTGTAATTAATTAGAGCTGTTTCTGGCACAGTTTTGGCCAAGGCCAGCTCATACTGTTGCCTATTATTCCCAGCTTTAGAAATTGCAAGGTCTAGGACCAATTCCTTCCGGAAAGTCTAGCTCTGGAAAAGTGTCTTACCTGCATTGAAAGATAAGAAAGTTTAAATAATGTGAGTGCATTCCCTGACTGTTGGCCTCATGATCCTGTCTTCTTGAGCGCATTTACACTACTAGTATAAAGGCAGACCATCTAAACTAGGAAACTTGTGTTTGAGAACATGGTCATGAGCCTTAGGAGAGGCAGCAAGAGAATGCATTTGCAATAAATGGTAGAATATATTGTTTTGGCACTACTAATTGGCAGGTGATGCAGCTCTTCTCACACGTGCCATACTTGGTCTCATTTTGGGCAAGAATCAGCAACTCAAGACCCTCTCTGCACCTCTTCCTCTACTTTCAAGGCAGCAGATTTTTACATGTATTACTGAAGTGCTATTTCTTAAGCCAGATGTTAGCAACCTTAGTGCATACACCAAATAGAAAAATAAATTAATGCATATCTGTCAATCACTCTGCTGATCTGTATTGATGTTACCAGACTGTACCACTTTCCAAGGCAATGATCTTTTTACTCCATTTTCATAAAAAAGGCATGAGAAAAGCTTGGAATAAGAGAAAATGCATAATTACGTACCAAATTAAGAGTTGGTGAAAGTGAGTCACATTGGTAATTAAAAACTGAAAAAAAAATTATGAAAGCTACTCAAAGTGGACATGGTGATATTCCGATGCCTTAGAGAAGTACATTGAGGTGAGGCAGAGGTCATAGGGCACAAGTTTCCCCTGTGCCAATGAATAATGGTTTGCAAGGAACCCCAAGGATTACATATTCAGGTTTCTAAGGATGGAAACATTGCAAAAATCTTATCTGAACTATTCTATTACATAAAACAGACTATGTTATTATCCTGTATAAAACAGACTATGTCTTGTAAGAAAACATCCAAGTAACATGAGGGCCTGGTAGAGGCTTCCACTGTTCTTGCTTGATTCTATTCTCACTTGACATATGCTTCTATAGACATGGTGTCTTGAGAATCTGGACCTTGGCAGAAACCTTTCGGAGAAAGAGCAAAGATGTGTGACCATCCTGTGCTACATAGACCAATGGCACTGCATAGAGCCCTGTGTGATTGTGTCACACAGCAATAGGGAAATACTAAGTGGGATAGCCTGTCTTTAATAGGCTAAAGTGTGGTGATTTAATTTCCACTGTTTTTCACATCTGGAAGGTCTTCAGACATTAACTTCATCCTGGTGTGTGAAATAACAGATAAGGTTTCCACAGCATTTAATTGTGTTTACTTACTGGTAACATTATCAAAACTTATTTCTTCTGGTCTTCCACCATGAAGTATATGTAATTTTGGGGACAGTTCTCTTGTTAAAGAAGGCAGAAGAAGGCTGCTGTTATGCTAAACTCTGAAATCTAACCAAGAGGTGCTTCTGATTGTTAATCATTCTTAACTGAGCCAGTTTTAATCTCAGCAAAGAATATTATCAGACCAGAGCATGCTCCCTATGTACAGCTCAAGCAGAGACATTAGAAAATTAACAGCAGTAATAACAGAAGAATTTAGACTACTGTGAAAAACACAGGCAGAGCTAAGAACATGCTGAAACATATAACATCTAAATGTCAGCACATAGTTGGAGTGGAAATGATTGTGAAAATAATACACAGCAGCAAAGTGAAACCTTGAGGCAATCCTTACTATTTCAAGCATTCAAGAGGAAAATTACTGCTGGATTTTCATCTTACCTGAATGAAATCAAAACTGTTTTAGGCAGAGCTATAATTAATTTAGAATTATTTCAGTCAATCGTTGTTTGTTTTTTTTTGTATGGAGACATGCAGTTGAGAAAAACATGTTCTTTCCTTTCTTAAATTCAGTGACAACCTATGCAAAGAAAGTTTGGAAATCAAAGCATGTGTACAGATAAAATGGAATGAATTTTACACCTAAACAGACCTTCAGCTCAGTGATCTCAGAGCATCTTGCAAATACCAAAGAATCTACTGTTTTAGGGGTGAGGGCATTAAGTTCCAAAACACATGCTTTTGCCCCTGGGTTTGGAACTGGACAAAAGCCACAAGCTCCAGCTCCCATTCCCTGCCTTACTGGCACCTGTAGGCCTGCGTTACTTCCCACATCCATTTACTGGAAGCACAGATGGGAGTGTGCAGTGGAGTCAGTGGACATGGGCTCTGGCAGTACTGTGGTATGATGCAGGAATCGAAGACATCGAGTAGCACTCTGGGGTAGGCCAATTAAATGTCTATGAAAATGTAATGGTATGTATTTGGTGTAACCATTAGGCAGTTACTGTATACTCAGAAGTGTTAGATTGAGTGAAAACGATAAGTGAAAATCTTGCTGATCTTTCACACTGACAAAATGAACCTCTTTCATACTTACAAAGTGTGTTACAACTGACACATTCAAAAGTTCTGTTTTCTCCTAGACTGGTCTTTGAATAACCTGAGTTTCCTTGGCAGCAATATAAGTTAGTAACATTAGAAGGCATGCAAAAATCTAACCATAGCTTGTAGTTGAAGATAAAAGTTTTCAAAACAAATTTGTGGGTGAAAAGAGGAAAATTTTATAATTCATATTCTATTTAGCTTGACATCTCATCACAAAACCTGTTTTAAACACTTCTTTTAAAGGATAATTCACTTGAAAGAATTTTCTCAGTTCAAAATTGTATAGAATTATACAATTCTAATTGTAAAGATTAATTCCTATCAGACAATTGTATCTTTTCAAATTCTCTTCCAAGACTGCAGTAATTACTGTCCTGCTGCACATCCTTAAGAAAGGTGGTGACATCATCATACCACTTTATTCATTCTCAAGCCTTTCTTGAACTTCTAAATTTGTTCCAAGTCAGCAACAAGATGAGACAGTTCCAGGCAAACACCTCATGTGAGTAGGGAAGTTCAAAGCCCTGTGCTGTGTACACCTGGGGCAACAGAGAGTGCCAAGCAGCACTCTGCACTGAGGATTTGGTGACTTCCATGTTCAGGTGAAAGCCTTCAAGAGACTGCACCCACAGGATATAAGTAAGAATAAAATGAAAGGAAAAGATTGTAAGAAATGTTAGGACAACAAATGTCCTAACATTTGTCCTGACTGCCAAGTGTAGTCTAATGAACAGTTTGTTGGTGAATGATGGATGAATGGACAGACAGGGAAAAAAATTAATTTCTTAATTAGAACTGTATTTATATAAATAATTAGCTGTCATAAATATTTCATTCTTTTACTTTTCTGTGGTAGGCAGATAAAACAGATGTGGATAAACTATTTTAGTTTGGCACATTTTTACTAAATCTACACCTCCCCTGGAAATGTGTCTCTCTAACACAGGAATTCTCACATGCCATATGTCTAAAGGCACTGAAAGTGTTTGATGCTATGTTAAAAAATGGATTAAATATCATTTCTAAATTAAAGAGCCATGTTATTCTGATTCATACTGAAATACAAATGTACTGAATAGCTTAAAAAATCCACTAGCATTTATAGTGAAAGAAGAAATTATATTCTCCATTACTGGAGGATCCAGGGGCTAGTATAAATCAGAAAAGAAGCAGAAATATTAAGCAAAATTTTCTTAATTTACACAATTAAAAAGTTTAATCCACAGACTTTTATGTTAATATGTTTTCGGTTTATGTATCCCTGTCTTTTTTTTTTTTTTTTTTTTTCCTTAAAAGAGGCAACTGGGGGATAAACAGGAAAAATCTTGAAAACAGGAAAAATTACAGTGAAGACATTCCAATCAGTTCATAAGTTCAACGAGGAGTTTAATAATGCAGTTTTGCCTTTGAAACACAACGGCATTCTTTCAGTCTTGAAATGCAGTGACAGCAGCTGCAGAAGAATGTGGAGGTATAGTGTGTGTGTTGCTGAGTGATCCCCTGGTTGGTGCCACATGTCTGATGGCTTCCCCTGCAGAGGTCAAGGACAGCCCATTGGGTAGAGGCACAACTGCTGACATCCAAGGAGAGCCAAGAGAGAGGCCTTCTGTTCCAGCATATCCATGGACAGGCTGAGTGCCTTGCAATCTGGCTGAGGTATGAGTCAGAAACCGGGCCAAGATGTGTGTTTTCTTGTGCCAGAGAGTAGGGCTCAGTCCAGAATGAAATGTCAGGAGGGAAGGGAAGGGAAGGGAAGGGAAGGGAAGGGAAGGGAAGGGAAGGGAAGGGAAGGGAAGGGAAGGGAAGGGAAGGGAAGGGAAGGGAAGGGAAGGGAAGGGAAGGGAAGGGAAGGGAAGGGAAGGGAAGGGAAGGGAAGGGAAGGGAAGGGAAGGGAAGGGAAGGGAAGGGAAGGGAAGGGAAGGGAAGGGAAGGGAAGGGAAGGGAAGGGAAGGGAAGGGAAGGGAAGAGGAGGATTTAGATTTCAAGAACTATTAAAACAGAAAAAGCAAAGAAAAACATCTTTTAAACTAGCAGTAAGCTAGCAAAGAATGTGGAAGACAGAAGAATAATATAAAGAAAAGCAATCATAAAACTATAGGGAAGTGGAAGATAATGCAATCAGGTTGCCAATTTTTTTTGGAGATCAATTCTGCCCTGCAGAGTGTGTTTGCTCTAGCAGCTGAGTCCTCCAGATAAAACAGGTTGGTTACATTCAGAGAGTAAACTGTTTAAAAATAATTGTCATAAGGTATTCAGCTAAACATGTTGAGGATATATGGTGGAAAGTCAAAATACTACTTGTTCCATAGGATATAAATAATTTGTGCGACATTAATGTGAAAGTCCTGTGCAGTTATAAATCACATGCATGTGATCACCAAATGAACAATCTGATATTCATCATACATCAAAACATGGGATAATAATTTTCCCTCTTGAAAAATATTGCAAAAAACGTAGTATCCAGTTGCTAAAAGATATCGTTAGAGAGGGATATCAGTGTCAGAACACGCATCATATAAACTCAGAAAAAAAGAGAAGAACATCATCTTAAAATAAAAACAAGTAATGGAACCCTGCAAGCCTAGTTCACAAAAGATATTTTTTTGAAGAATGATGACTAGTGCTCTAACTTTAGGTATGCACAATTGATACAGAGAAATAAATGACAACATATATTGCAGCCAATATGAATATTGGAAAGGAATTTACTACATAGTGTTGAATCTTTTATTGTGCTGATAACAAAACGGTTTCACTTTTCTCATCTTTTTTTTTTGCAGTGAACCAATGCTCTGGCAAAGTGTTATCTGATATCCCTGAAGGAATCCTCTCCAGTGCCAGGAATTTATATCTTATTTCTTAGAATCATAGAATTGCTGAGGCTGGAAGAGGCCATCTAGTCCATCTAGTCCATCTAGTCCAACTGTCAACCCGGTAACTCAGTCGGTACTTTTCAGACTACAACACAAGCAGTGCACGAATTTCATCTAAGTGGGTCTCCTGAAGAGCAATAAGATCAGTGATGGAGATACAAAAGAACCATTTGAAGGCTTGCAAAGGCTCATAATGATCTTAGCAGCATCCCAGCAGATGCAGCCACAGCAGAGCAGACTTGCACTCAGTACAGGAACCTGGCAGCACTGAGCTTTCTCAGCAGCAGGTTATCCCACCAATCCTCCTCCAAGGAGCATTTCTTTCCCTAAAATCTTTGCATGTTATGATAGTGACCTTCAGTCAACTGAGGAATATTCCATCCCTATGCCTTAAGGAGTTATATTCAGCAGCAGGCAAAATATCAGTAATTCCTACTGATGTCTTCAGAGAACTGTCAGAGCTAGAAAAACTTGATCTCAGTCACAACCAAATTACTGGGAAGGACACTAAGAAGGCAGCTTTTGGTAACATGACCAAACTGGAAGACCTGAACAGGGAGGAGAATTTGCTCGCCAGAGCACCACAGCATTTGCCCTCTCTCTGAAGGATGTCTTTCGTGAGGCAAGAGGCATTTATAAAGCTGGAAAACTCACTCAGATTGATCTGTAAAGCAATAATATAACCTCATATAGCGTACAGAACTTTTAGAGACCAGGAAGATTTATTTCCTTGAGAGGTGTGATTTAATAAGTTATCATAAGTATTTCACCAACTTCCTATCATATCACAGTTTCTTTGCGCCTGCACATACTCAGTTTATGCCAGTGGACTCGTTCTGTGGCAGTCATAATGCTGAAAACATTGTCTTGTACAGTTAGCAAACAATCAGATGAGCCCTGATAATTATGTCTATGAACTCATATGCCTGAAAGGCTAAGACAACTTTTATTAAAATACATTAAAAGAAAGGAGAGAACGACTAGACAGTGGAATTTCCTTTACATAGAAAGAATGGATAGATGTTAGTTTTTGATGTCTTCCTATACAATAATAAACTGCAATAATACATGAAGTTAACCACAGTCACAAGAATAAGAGAAAACTGTATGTATTTTAAAGTATTTAGAAATTGTTTGTTTTTACAAATCTCTGTATTCACAATCTCTATGAGGAAACTAAAGTGAAAATAGCAAAATCTTTTAGTTCCTCAGTGAAATAAGACCTCCATCATGTTTACAATCCATGTTATCCAATTGGCAGCTTGCATATTTGCGAATGCCTTTTTTTTTTCCTTTCTCTTTTTTTTTTTTTTTTTTCATTCAATCCTAAACATATCAAAAGAGAAATTCTCATCCTACCCAGATTTAAAGTCACTGATAAGTTCAGTGCTGTGGCATGTCACTGCAGGGATTCATTAGACTATTTTTTTACTACTATTTATTTTCTAAATAATATTTCAGCTTTTCAAAGAAAAAAAAAATGTATGGCAGGAAAATGTTATAGTAGGAAATATTCTAGACTTGTCCTGAGTGCATTTAATGCTTACAAAAATTTACATACATTTTCAGGTAATTGTTTCATAAGCATTTCATATACACACGCAATTATTTCAATATTTTTGTCTTCTCTGTGATGCTCTCCAATGCATGTGTCCAATATTTCAGCCTCATGGAGGCCCTCTAATAAGGCACTTGTCCTCCTGTGTGCTGCTCCTCTAGCTCCAGTGCCACCTAGCTGGTCTAGTCTGACTGAAGTGCTTTCAGTTCCCTAGAATGCAGTTAATTTCCAGCACCATTATCAGCCGGGCAATGCTTTACTATCTGCTGAGAGTTGTACTGCTTGTCATTAATATAAGACATGCCCGTTTAAATGTGCTTTGTGTGTGTCTGCACAAAATATAGGATGGAGCATCACTTCTGGAAAGAATCAGATATGCAGATAGACGCAAACGGTTAACTGGAGATTTACTTGCCTAGAGGGAAAGCTGGTGGAAAGAAAGAGTCTTTGCACTGTGATTTAATACCCACAGGAGCACAGTTCTCTGCAGTTGTTCCCATCGGCTGTAATTCCACTTATTTTGCAGTCTGGAGCCAGGTCAGATTCTCAGGTGCAGCTTCAGATACAGGCAGCAGAATGGTGTTAAATAACTTTCCTTGGCTTTCCTAAAGACTGCTTGGGTGCAATCTTTCTTGCTTTTTGATCTCATACATAGATTGGATATAAGGAAGATGTTTTTTACAATTACAATAGCAAAACACAGGAGCAAGTTGCCCAGAGAGGTGGCGAATGCCCCCCCCCTAGAGACATCCAAGTCAGGCTGGAGCAGATTCTGAGCACCCTGATCTAGCTGCAGGTGTTCCTGTTCATTTTAGGATAGCTAGACCAGATGACTTTTAAAGGTCCCTTCCAATTCAAAAGATTGTATGGTGATGGTTCTGTACTACTAATGAAAAGGAAATGTCACTGGTTCTCCTATCCATGCCCATAGGAGGGGTCTGTGCTGTGCAGGGCTCTGCCTCCCCTCTGCCTCCAGTGAGGGCCTTTCTTTCCAGTGGTTCTGAAAGGAGCCCTTTGGGATTTACTACATTCCATGCTTATAAACCAGTACTCATTTGCTCTTCCCCAAAAGCATCATGCAAGGAAACCTCAGCAGCCTCCACAGACAGAAAAACCTTAAGACAGCCAATATAAGCTGTTTCGTTAGCAGGCTACAGGGCCTGGGAGAAGGCAGTTAGCATAGTGGAGGCAAGCAGAATGTATGCAACACTGCTGAAGCCTACAAAGACTTAATGGGAACCTGAGCCAGGAGCACAGAAATGGTTTGCTGTTGAAGCTGGCACACTTCTTCACCCCACCAATCACCACTGGCTAAAACTAGCAGAGCCACCTTTCCCTTCTTATGGGGTGAGAGATTTGGCTTTCTTTCCCTTGTATGCACTCCCCCTCCCCTTTTAACCTTTGACACGGGGGGATTTCTAAGTGCCTCTATCAGACTGGAGATTGAATGAACACAGAAGGGAAACTGATTGCTCCTTCCCTAACAGCAGGTGGTGGTGCTGGGTTGTGCAAACCATCGAAAAACTGCTTACAGATGTTCCTTCCTTGTTAAAAAGATTGGAAATGGATGCTAAACATTTGTCTTCTGCTTTCCCCTTCTGATTGGAGGGTCAGTTACTGTTTACCCCTTTTCAATAGTCAGTTTAATGAATGTTTGGAAGTGTGTTTTAAAAACAAGACTTACTAAAATAAATACTTCAGGGCTTAGAATAAAGTATAGCTCACAGTATAACATGTTGTTAGTGCTCTAAAGGTCTTGCATATTGTCCGTCATTTTTGTGAAAACTGACAAGGAAGTTTTGTATTTCTTAACTTCTGGAATAGTTTGATTATATTTTCTTTTTCTTTTTCTTTTTTCAGATTGGGGCTGTGGGAAACATATTTGTTCTTCTCCTATCTCATGTCACTTCAATACTGACACTCTCAATATGATGCCTTTTCCTAATTAAATATAGCGCAGCAATAAACCAAGTTTTAAATCAGTTTTCATTGTAGTTTTCTTTTTTTTTTTTCCTGTTGTTTCTGACTGATTGGTGCCATTCTGTTTCTCACCAGTATCATTACTTCAAATTAGCGTTGCAGCATGAATATTATAAATTAACATTGTAATATTATGCAGATATGCCTGGAATATCACAATAACCCACCAATCAGCCAAATTCTGCACAAGAACAGCTTGGTCCTTTTTTTTTTTTTTTTTCCCTATTAACTGTAGGAAAGATACAGACAGCTGCCCCACTCCAAACCAACTGTTGGGGTTTCTTTTTGTTTTTTTTTTGT